AGGCATGATGGAATTTTACTTTTTGAATGCTATAGATTCTTTCATTCCTAAAGTTGTCCTTGATCCTTTTTCTGGGACCCAGATAAGTTACTTGGCAGCATCTTGATTCTTTGTTAGGAAGAATCAGAGCAACCTTTATTCCAGGACTAGTTTGCCCATAACTGAGGCAAAACCCTTTTCAGCATTCTACCCAATACCCAGTGAGTTACGTGGTTTTCCGTACTTTCTGGTGGGGTGAGAACTGTTCCTATCATTGTGTGAGCTTCGGGAGTTGCTCCTGAAATCTTATTGGGTGGTTCTTTCCCTGGCTGGTGCTGTTTGATGCTTACGTGGGGACTTAAAGGGGACCTCTGCTAGTCTCCAGAGTCCTCTCCTCTTGTGTGTCTTCCCTGTGAACTCAGGCTGTATGGGGGTTCTCTGTCTTCCAGGTTTGTCAACCTTGGAAGAGCTCCAGGCTCCATATGCAGCCTGGAAATTGAACTTTCCAGCTACTCTTCCAAGATGGAAACAGAACTGACCTACATACAGGCAGCAGGACCTCAATGTGAGGGACAGGGACAGAGAATGGCCATGGTCATATTGACAGGTCTCAGTGGGTCAGAAGCAAGGTGTGGGTGAGTAAGGACACTAAGCAGTGGGGGAGGGAGGAAACTTGGTGTCCAAATAAGAATATCCTCTCCATAGTCAGCCTGCCCCATAGTGTAGATGGTGTGTCTAAAGTCTCGTACATAAGTTGGAGAAGTGGTTAACAAGGTGCAGACATGTGTACGTAACTCATGGTCCCTGACGTAGCCACACAAAATTGGTGTTTTCAGCAGGGAACCAAGAACCTCTGTCCTTTGTCCTACCTCCTCTCTATTTCCTTGTATGTCCATAGTCTTGAGGTTTGAGAAGGACATGGGGCTCAGAATCCAAGCTGATCATGGTACCCGGATTGTTGGAACCAACTACACAGGATAAAGCTGAAAGAGGAATTCTGTGTCCAAAACACAGTTCTTTGCGAACATAGGGTAGTGGCAGTTCTCAGAAAGGGGTCTGGCGGTCCAGGTTGGTTGGGAGCGAACCCTGATTGGAGCCCTGCCTGGGGAAGGCTTTGGCCACAACCTGGCCTTCAGGGCTCAGCCTGGAGATTGAGCCAGTGAGGGATTGTCACACCAGTCACAGGTAAGGGGAGTGACTAAAAGAACTGAGTAGGAGCCTAGGTGAGGGTTCTAGCCCTTCCCTCCCAACATGGCTGGTTTCTACAGCCACCTGAGAATAGAACCAGGGTCTATAGACCAGAGATAAAGATTTTCATGCAATGTCAGGACAGTTCTTCAGCAGTGAGGCAGGCTTCTACAATGTGAATTCCCCATCTCTGGTGACTATTCAAGGAAGAGTAGAGAGTGTTTCACTAGTTTCCTTGGAAGTAAGATGACCTCTAAAACTGGTTCTTGAAATGTTGATATTTGAGAGAAAGGCCTTCAAAGAGGTGAAGAATGTGTGATCTCGTCTCCAAGGGCATGGGAAGTTCGGTGTGGACGTGTTGAGACTCTAACTATGCAGGGAGGGAGGCAAGGGGAAAGTGGTGATTTCCATAGAAAGACCCTTTAGAGCTGTTTTCTGAATCCAGCATTCTGAGAGTCAGGCAGGGTTGTGGTGCAGTGAGAAACATCCCCAGGATGTCAGTAGAATCTAGCCGCACAGGTTGGTTCCTCTTCATACTACATGTCTGTGCAGGTTAGCCAGGACCACCTCATCATAGTCCTCCAGGGCCAGGCTGGTGGCTGCCAGAGCTTCCTCAGTCCTCTGTGGTATGGAAGTGGGGCTGCAGGGTCTAGGGTTGGCTGTTGAAGGCTTCATTCCAGAAGCAAGGCACGGTTTGACTAGTCTTTGAGGTGTGAACTTGGATGATCTCCTTGTGTCTATAAGTCAGTGGGGAAACATTTGTGTCTTCCCCGGAGCCTCAGAGAGGAGGGAAGCTACTAGAGTCTATCTGTGAGGTGAGCGGGGGTTCCTCACATTGCTGCTGACCCCTCTTGTGTTTTAACCCTCTCTGATATCAGGGATAGGGGTTTCCCTGGACACCTGCAGTTAGAATTCTGCCTGATCTGGGCTACCCTGATCTTAGAATTCATTCACAGGGGAAGATGTGGCCACAGAGTGAGCTCAAGTAAAATCAGCCATCAAAGGCAGGTACCCTGCAACAATTCAGCCCCAAAGCTGGAAACGACATCCATTCCTCCCCAGTGGGAGCTGATGAGACTTAATTGTAGCCACTCCCCATGCTGGGGATTGTGCTCTGCACTTCCCTAAAAGAGATGTCCCTCAGATTTGGGGTGCTCCTGAAGAAAGATGTGTCCCTGGAAGGATACTGAGTGACTCAATGAGAGAGGACATCTGTGATTTTTTCTTGAAAGTAAAAATGTACTGTCCCAATGTTAAAGAATGAACTGGCACTCATATTCTTGTCCAAAGCCCTGTGGTCCCTTTCAGGAAGGCACAGAGGGAGGAGGGGGCCACCGTGCTGGGCTGTTCCATTATAAGGAACACATTGTTGATTCCAGGTGCTGGGTTGGAGGGGTGCTGATCTTATTTGTGACCCTGAGAGCTCTTGGTCAGGGTGATGGTGATAGTCATTGACAACACACCCAGCATTCCAGAGAGTTGTCAGGTTAGGTTATTTGTTATTACTTTGTTTTGTTCTTTTTCCAAAAATGACAAATGTACCAGGCTGTGACCTCCTTTGACATGCCACACCACGTTCAATAGATGTGCCCTGGCCAATCAATTCTAAAATGTAAGCATACACGAGAAGGGAAAAAAACCTTTTGAAAGAAACTTCACGAAGAGAACATTTTGAAAACAGAAGTTGAATGTGTCTCTCCCATGTGACCTGTTGACAAGAATAATGTGACTGACCACCCACAATCACCCTTCCTTAAAAATACTAGCGTTTCCTGGCTGGTTGGAAAACTGTGTAATTATAACAATATCGTTTCTGCTAGGCTCATAAAAATAACTGGCACGGAATGGGTTCAGGAGCAGTGGACACTTACCAGTCAGATTTGAACAAAAACGTGTGTATCTGTGAATGACCTATAAATACATGATAGTAGGAAGCATATCTGTACTGACAGTCCCTCAGTGGAAATGTTGACATAAAGAGAACTTAGAATCAGATCTTTTAGTCACAATGTAATAAGCCAAGGTTTTTTTTTTTTTAATCAAAGCAAATTCAGTTACATTGTTTTTACTAAAATATTATTAGCAGCAGTTATTTTAGAAAGGGTAAGCTTTTTATGCCATTAATAAATAGAACAAAAGCATTATTAAACAAAGCATTATTTCTTCCCTCTGTAGAAACTTTTCTTTTGTGTGACGTGTAACTATTTGTATCTGTCTAGAAGGGAGTGTGTTCAGAGTTTTATATTGACAGGAATAGGAGGTAAGCAGGCAGTTGGGGGCTGGAAATCAGAGGCCGTTGACCTTTGATACAGATTCAGAGCAAGTCATGGGTTTATTTCATGAAAGGCTCACTGCTAGTGACACCCCAAACTGGTTGTTTGATGCACTCAGGCCCTTGTTGTCTCCTGTTTTCTGTCCAACCCAGGCTGTGGACCCTTAGTCATTTGAGAAGCTCCAGTGTCCACATTGTGCTGTTTGCAGAGCTGGCTCCAGCCCCTCTGGGCCACACTGACCAGTGTCTACCCTGCCCTGACTTAGAGGTTATATCCCAGGGATATCTTTCATTTGTCCTAGTGCTCTGTGGTCTACCTTTCCTAACAAGCAAGAAAAAGGACATTATGTGTCTGACTGGGTGGGTCACGCTGGCTCACCGCACTTGTCTTCCCAGAGAACACCCTGTGGGGGTCCACCTTGCCTAACCTGGCTTTGTATCCTGGGGTCACCACATCCTCATGCTCAATGCCTCCTTACACCTCTCTGCTTCTTGGTGAATCGTTACATGAAATCTAACAGCATGACACCAGCCAACTCCACTCTAATCCAAGGATCCCACCAGAAAGGGGACACCTGCCATCTCCAGAGCCCTCGATTAGTACAGCCCTAGGAGGGACCCCTCTCAAATGGGTGTTTGATATTCATTTTCCAACAAGGACACTGTACCACAGAGGTGTACCTGCCCTTCATGCTACCAGCCACCATGTGGGGCATGGACCATGGAGTGCTAACTCCAGGCCATCAACAGGACATCATTATTTGATTTCTACTCTACCCAGGAGTTTGGTGCCCATAAATTCTGAGGCACACAGGCAATATTTCCCAGGCCTGGCTCTTTTTGTGGGTCAAGTCATGTGCCAGGGATACACAGTGACCTTAGTGGTTTCTGTCTTTGAGGGCTCTGCTGTGTACCATGGGCCATGGACCTCTGCCAGGAGCACCTCTTAAGCCCTTTTGGTGGTCCAAGAGGAAGGCCATCCCTGGCATTTTCATCAGCCTCTGTAGGGTGGGACTGGACTGCTCAGACCATGCATCTGTTAGACCTTCACAAAACTTCCCGTTTCTGCGAGTTACGCTCACTGAGCTGAGTTCTTGAAGCCACCCACCTCAGTCCCCACAGAATTCTTGTCTTGGTGCCAAAAGATTGTGAGCTCGTGTGGGGACAGAGAGTTTCCAAAGGGAACTCTCGTGTCCTAGGGAGGCGCCTACCACCTGATGCTGGGCACTGTGGGGAAGTCAGACTGGGGATTGCCCTTTGCTGATTTGGCCTGGTGGTGGGCATGTGCCTCAGAAGGAACCACCATGGGATCTGGGTCCCAGGAGATGGCTGGGGACAGGGCAGGTTCTAGAAATGGGGGAGCCATTGTTCACCCTTTGATCATGCCAGAGGCCCTCTAATGTGACTGGTCCTTATGTCTGGTGTGGAAGTGGGGAGAGCACTGGTGTGGACGATTGGTGGATCTGGGTCCCATGTGGGAAGAGCAGAGACAAACTGCAGTAGTCAGGTACAGTAGCATGGATGGATGGGACTCATGACCCTGTGACCCCATGACCCCCAGGCAGAAGAGGAGCGAGATGACATGGAGAGGGTGAAGCTGGACAACAAGAGGATCCTCTTCAACCTACTTCCAGCCCACGTGGCACAGCACTTCCTCATGTCCAATCCCCGGAACATGGTGAGTGCCTGGCACCCTGGGCCCTGCATCCAGGTCGCTGACCCCTGTGGGCTCTGCTGGGCTCTGCTCACATGGCAGGGGTTCCTGGTCTGCAGCTGGAGGCCTGTCTGCCTGCAGATTCACCACAACTTAGTGGGCTCAGCTCCCTGCCCATCCCAAGGACAAAGACAGGCACTGGTCGCTAGTGAGCTCCTGGAGCTTTGGGCTGATGGCTACTCTTTGGTCTAGTTTTCCTCTCCTCTGTTTGTGGGAGAGAATGCACCATTCATCACACCCACGGAAAAGGAAAACGAGCTTCCAAAAAACAAATGTGGAGAGGAAAAGCTCTTTGTTTTCAGGTCCTGAGCCTTTCAGAGTTTTCCCTTATATAGCTATTTTTTGGCCAATATGTACCTAAAACCAGAACTTGCCTCTGCCTTCTTACATCAGCTTGAAACCCTTGAAGAGCCCCTTTCCCCTCTGCTCGGTATTTTGGGTCAGTCAGAGCTCCTTACAGCACAGCTGCTGCCCCAATGACAGAAGTTACTTATCATGGTATGAGACCAAATTCAAAAGTAGAGAGAGTTAGGTTGCTTTGTTTTGTTTTTTTTTAAGATCCTAAGATCAGGAAGGAAAGCCCAAAGTTCAGCATTGACTTGTTTTGACCTAAAGTGGTTCCTGGCTGGGCTTTGAAGCCAGGCAGAGCGTGGGACTTTGCTAAGACTCGCCCTCCTGCCTCCTCACCTTGCTAGGTTTGTGGAGGATGCAGACTCCATCAAGACTTTTGCCCATAAATGTGAGCCGTACAGCCTGGAGCCCTTGGAGCCCATGCCCTCGTTATCTTAAGAACCAGCTGGGTCTCCATGGCCTGGCCCATCTTCAATCTAAGCACCCTTCCATCCTAGCACAGTGGGCTGACCCTCCTCTGCTCTTACAGGACCTCTACTACCAGTCCTACTCCCAGGTGGGCGTCATGTTTGCCTCCATCCCCAACTTCAATGACTTCTACATTGAGCTGGATGGCAACAACATGGGGGTAGAGTGCCTGCGGCTCCTGAATGAGATCATTGCTGACTTCGATGAGGTGAGGCTACACTGTGCCATCCTCATACAGGTGACGAGGATGTCCCTTCACCCAACCACATCCCGCATGTGGCCAGTATGTTCTATGCTCTCTAGATGCATGGGGAGAAAGCAGATCTGGTGAAGCACACGTGTCTGTCCCCTTTGGGGGCAGATCAGCCATGACAGTTAAAGAAAGAAGATGGTCTTAACTCTAGAATGGGGACCTGGCCACTGGGCATGGGCTGGACATCAGCAATGGCCAAGCCTCGGCGGCTTCCTCTTCAGATGGGTGGGTGGGCACCTCCAGGTTCTTCCCCAGATGGACACTGTGTCTTCCCCATCACTGGAGACCCACTCTCCACAGTGACCACGACCTTGGCTTTAGGGACAGGGATATGTCCTATGCTGTTTCTTCTTGCTGCTGCTTTTTTTTTTTTCATGGGACTGGGGTTTGAACTCAGGGCTTCTCACTTGCAGAGCAGGTGCTCTGCCGCTTGAGCCTCACCTCCGTGCCTTTTTGCTCTGGTTACTTTGGAGAGGAGGGTTTTGGTTTTTGCCTAGGCTGGCCTGAACCACAATCCTTCTATTTATACCTGTTACCATCACTGGCTATTGGTTGAGATGGGGTCTCATAAACATTTTGCCTAGGTTGACCTGGAATCGTGATCCTCCCAATCTCAGCCTCCCAAGGATCTAGGATGGTAGGCATAAGCCACTGCTGCCTGGCAACTTGCTGATTCTTTCATACACAGTTTCCGAACCCATCTGGTACCTAAAACAAAGAGGAATGGCTGCTGTCCTCAATGTGTTGGTCGCCTTGGCTGTTACTGCCAGTGACTGATGTCTGCGGTGATGTCTTTCCAGTGTTGTGTGATGTCTAATGGTTTTCTGTTTTAAACAAGCTCATGGACAAAGATTTCTACAAGGACCTGGAGAAGATCAAGACCATCGGGAGCACCTACATGGCAGCAGTGGGGCTGGCGCCCACAGCAGGGACCAGGGTGAGTAGTGCACAGGGACACCTGCTCCAGCCTGGACCAGCCCTGCCCCAAGTGGGCTCTGGGACCCTGGGAGGGCCCCATGCTGTGGTTGGTGTCACTGCATTGCAGGAGTGGGGCATGTCCTAGGCTATTTCCCCACTGGCTGACTCTCCAGACATGATCTCTAAGGGAAGTCCATGCAGGTCAGATGCAGGGCCCCCTCCCCAATTCTTCCTCCCCTGCCTCTCCTGTCCTCTGCCCGCTCCTCCCTGTCAGTCAGTCATGTACCACTGAGGATGTGCCTTCCCCATAGCAGAACTGGGAATATAGGAGTACAGATCCAGAATAGACCTATAGTTATTAAAGAGATTGGTTCAGCAATTAACAGTCTTCCAAAAACAGAAAGAGCAGTCCAGATGCATTCATTGGTGATCTTACAAAACATTTAAAGGGGAAATAAATGGTACTAGTTATTTCCCATCTCTTCCAGAAGACAGAAACAGAGTGACCACTTCCTAAGTCATTCTGTGAGGTCAGCCTCACTCTGATGCCAAACCTGACAAAAACATCACAAGAAAGAAGAGGTAGAGCAGAATTAAAGTCTCATGAATGCAGATTCTTAAGTCTTCATCAAACATTTATTACTGAGTTATTATTATAATTATATTACTGACTTATAATTATTTATTTCTGAATTCACTAATAAGTAAAAAGATACAGGAAGGCCAAGCTGTACTCACTCCAGATAGGTAGGGCTGGTTCCACATTGCAAGATGAATTCATGAAATTCACTGTACGAGTGAATGAATGGAGAATGAAAGTCCTATGATCTTACCAATGGATGCAAAAAAATCATCTAGCACTTATTTTTGAAGAAAAACTCTTAGTCAAGTTGGAAAAGAAACTCCTTCAACTTGATTTAAAAAAAAAGAAAATCAATAAAACCCTACAGCTTGTCATTGTTCCTAATGGGTACAGACTGTATACTTTGACCCAAAGATCAGGAGCATAGCATGGATGTTCCCTATCATTTGTCATCATACTGGAAATCCAAGCTAAGGCCATAAGACAAGAAAAGGAAATAAAAGACACACAGACCTTGAAGGCAGAACAAAAATTGTCTTCATTTGTGGATGGCATGACTATATGGGTAGAAAATCTGAAAGAATGGGGAAAAGAGAATAAAAGCCCCAGTAATTTTTTTAAAGTATAAATGTAACAGATTATACACAAGAGCTATATAAGGAAAGCCACAAAGCTCTGGTGAAAGAAATTAATGCAGATCTAACAAATTAAGAAAGGATGATTGTTCATGCTTGTAATCCTCACTACTTGGGTGGCAGAGACTGGAAGAATCATACTTTGAGGCCAGCTTGGGCAAAAATTTAGCAAGAACCTATCTCAACAAACAAGCTGGACATGGTCGCCCACGCCTGTATCCCCAGCTTTGCAGAGGAGGTCTAGACAGGAGGAAGGAGACCCTATGTGAAAACTAAAGCAAAAAAGGGCTGGCGGAGTGGCTCAAGTGGGAAAGCACCTGCCTAGCATGTGTGAGGCCCCTGAGTTCAAATTCTAGTGCCACCCAAAACCAAAAAACATCCAGATGCAATGCAGTCATCATACCCTTCACAAAGTCAACTCAAGATAGACAGTAAACCTAGATATAAAATGAAAAAGTATAAAACTTCTAGGTGACACCAAGGGAGAAGACCTAGAAGGCCTTGACTTTGGGTGAATACCAAAAGCATGAACTATGAAAGAAAAAATTGAAGTTGGACTTCATTACAATTAAAAAATAAAAAACCCTCCTGCTCTGTGAAAGATATTGTTAAGAGGATGAAAAGTCAAGCCACAGGCTGGAAGAATATCTTGACAAATCATTTCTCTGAAAAGGACTTGGTTCTGAAGTATACAAAGAACACTTAAAATTCACCAATAAAAAAGCCACCAATCTTGTTTAAAAAGCAGGCAGTCTGAACAGCCAGCTCATCAAGGAAGATCCACAGAAGCCAGTGAACATATGAAAGGATGTTAGGTCTTTAAGGAGTTTCGAATTCAAATCACAGTGAGATAGCACCGCACACCTGTTCGAACAGCTAAAACCGCAAACACCATGAGGACATTGAGCATAAGGGACCCTCTTTGGTTGCTAGTGGAAAATGCAAAGTGGTCCAGCTACTGTGGAGAGTCCAGCAGGTTCTCCAAAACTAAAGTTGGTGTCATCCGAGACACTCAGCAGGCGTAGTCCTTGCCATTTTACCCAAATGAGATATAACTTAGGTCCACACAGAAACCAGTTCGTGAGTGTCCATGGCATAATCACCAAAAACTGGGAAGAAACGAAAGTCCCTTCATTAGGTGAACAGATGGACAAATTCTGATATAGCCATAAAATTGCGTATTACTCAGGTATAAAAAGAAATGACAAGTCATGAAAAGGTGTGGAGGAGCCTTATACAGAGTGTGTGATTCTGACACAACCTTTTGGAGAAGGCAGAACTGTGGAGACTGTAAGATGAGGGGTCCCCAGGAGCTGGGGGTGGAGCAGTGACTGGGCAGAGTGCAAGGAGACTGTGACACCATGTGACACTACAGTCTGTCCCAGCCTGCAGAATGTCCATCTGGAGTGAACCCTCATGTTTACCCTGGCCTTGGGGTGGCGACAGCTGGTGGGTATTGGCTCATTCACTGCAACACAAGTGCCAGGGACACAAGATTTTAGCAATAGTGGGGACTGTGGGGGAGTGTGTCACATGGGAACCCTCTGTGCCATCTGCTCCATCACCTGTAAACCTAAAATATCCTAAAATAGTCTGTGAGTGTTCCCTGAGATCGAGAACAAATAAAATTTCCTCGGTAAATAAAGATGAGACTCACTATTTCACAAGAGAGAGGTCTCTCTCTCTCTCTCTCTCTCTCTCTCATTCACACACACACCCTGCCCCCTCTTTCTCTCTCACACACACACACACACACACACACACACACACACATGGTCTCTCACACACGTACTCACTCTCCATCTCGCTCTCTGTCTCTGTGTCTCTCTCACGCACACAGTCTCAGTTTGCAGGAAGGAAGGTGATGTGGTAGTGCTCCCCAATGTACTTCCCCTGTCCTTGTTTTGCTCCTTTGCTGTGGGCAGTGGCGGTGGCAGTGCTGTCTGAGTCCCGCTGTACACCTGCAGAGGATCATGGCCTGGGCTCACATGGCCTCCAGTGCCCCCTCGTGAGCCACGGTCTGGGCCCTGCCCTGCCTCGGTCTCCCACCTGTAGAATGGGGGGTAAGTGTGTCCCCAGCCAGGTACCAAGACACTCACAGTCTCCAGGACCACTGGGCTTTGTGGGAGTCAACTCTCAATCCTAGGACAGGTCCCGCTGGCCCCTGACCCCTTCTTTTCCAGCACCTCTGCTTATTGTTCCCGTCTGTTCACACCTAGGCTAAGAAGTCCATCTCTGCTCACCTCAGCACCTTGGCTGACTTTGCCATCGATATGTTTGATGTCCTGGATGAAATTAACTACCAGTCCTACAATGAATTTGTCCTCCGAGTTGGTCAGTGGCTCTGAACCTGTCCCTGTTGTGTTCCGCCTTGGGAGCGGGCTCAGGGTGGGCCCCTGGTCTTTCAGGAGGGTGGCAGTGTAGCCAGGAACTCATGGAGCTGTGGGGCAGCATGAAGCACCTGTGTCAGCTATCTTGTTGTTGGGGTAGTCACTCAGAGGCACCCCACTGCCACATTCAGCTGGAGAAAGGCTCCTGCTATGGCCCCAATGGCCAGGCCAAGGTGTGGGAGTCCCTTGGAAGGTGGCCTTGGCAGGAGCCCAGCTGTGGGCATAGGTCAGCATCTGGCTGTGAAGTGAGGGCCAGGTTCCTTTCTAAACTTTTACAAAATCATAGTTTGCTGGGGGAATTTTTAATCCAAAATTCACCTTTTCTTTTTTTCCTGAGATGTAGACAGTTTGTCAGAATTCTTATTGGTCCAGAATCAAGATGTTTATGGCTTCTCTCCCTCTGTCTCACTGTGTCTTTCCTTCTCCCCCTCTGTCTCTATCTCTCTCTCCCCCTTCTCTCTCTTACTCCTTCTCTCCCTCCTTCTCTTCCTCCCTCCATCTCTTTCCTCTTTCTCTATCTGTGCCTCTCTTCTTCCTTTTCCCTCTATTTTTGTCTCTCTTTCTCTTTCCCTTCCTCCCTCCCTCCCTCCTCCATCTTTTTTTCTTCCGTCCCCTCTCTCTTCCTCCATCTCTCTCTCCCTCCCTCTCCATCACTGTCTCCCTCTCTCTCTCTCCCTTCCTCTCCCTGTATCTTTCTCTTTCTCTCTCTTCCTCCCTCCATCATTCCCTCCATCTCTTTCCTCTCTCTGCGTCTGTCCCTCCTTCTGCCTCTATTTCTGTCTTTTCTTCTTCCCTTCCTCCCTCCATCCCCCCTCTTCCTCTCTTCCCTCTTTCTCTGACTCTCTCTCCTTCCCTCCCTCTACCTCTCTGTCTCCCTCTGTCGCTCTCTCTTTCCTCTCCCTTCTCTCTGCCTCTCCTTCCTGCCTCCCTCCCTCCCTCTCTCTCCCTCCTGCTCTCTGTCTGTCTCTCTCCCTCCTACTCTCTCTCTCTTTCCCTCTCTCCCACATGGCCCTTTAGGATTCAAACATCCAGTGGCCATAAGACCGCCCTTGGCTGTGTCTGTGTGGGAGGGTGGGAAAGGGATCCACTTCCCAGCGGGTAGAGCCCTGAGGTCCTCACAAGCTGTTTCCATGTGGTGTTCTGCCTGGGATCAGGGGCAGAGGGCACCAGGCCTCCTCCCTGGGCCTTGGCTCTGGTAGGTAGATGTACTGATGTGAACAGACCAGATGTGATGGAGAGTTGTGGAGATTCTTTTCCTCCTTTTCCCTCAACAGAACCAGCAGATCCGCCCTGCCACTGTCTGTATATGGCTGATCACCCAGTGGGGCTGGATGAGGGTCCCTTGGGGCCCTTCTACCCAGAAGGCTGGCTCTGGCCCAATCTCCTCCACCTGGGTAAAGGTGTCTAGGGTTGGCAGAGGTGCTCCTGGAGTCCCACCAACCATCTGAGAAGTGGCCCTTTGGGATTCTTTTCTGGGCCTCCCATGCTCCTTCCAGGCTACCCCCCAATGACCAGGATTTTGGGGGAAGCTACTAGACCAAGTTCAAGAAGTCAGTCCACAATGTTTCCAAAAGTGGGACTGTTAGAGGAGACTAAGGGAGAAAAAGAGAAGAAAACGATAGAGTGAATGATAATGAAGTACATCACACCTGTGTAGGAACAAGACACAAGGAAACGCACTGAAAACTCGAACAATATGGGTATGGGGAAAGGGTAAGGAAGAGTAACAGAGGGGGCTAGACCGGTTTAAGCACAGTATATTTGTGGGTAAAATACCATGGCAAAACCCCACTGAACAGTGAGCAGACCCTTAAACAATGAAGGACAGGAGTGTGACCAGGTCATGATAAGGGGAGGGCATAGTGGTAGGGGGAGGGTAAATGAAGAGGTAAAGGAGGTGAATATGGCTGATGTACTTTCTACACAGGTGTGAATATGGAACACTGAAACCTGTCCAAGATACTTTAAGATGATGGAGGCGGGGGTGAGGGGGGAGATGGAGAACAGTGGAGGGGATGAACCAACCCAGGGCACATTGTACATGTATATATGGAAATGTCACACTGAAACCCCCTATGCAACTGTCATATACTAATAAAAATGTTTAAAAAAAATCAGTCCACAAGCACAAGAAGGGAAGCTAGGAGGCGGTGTCTGCTCAAACCAGACAGCTCCAGTTACAAGGGAAAACAGGCAGCAGGCTATGGTCAGAACCCATCAGACATCCCACCTGTGGCCAGGCCAGGGTGGCACTGGTCATTTTGTGCCCTATTCACAGGGAAAAAAACCAGGTCCTGAAACGTATGAGCACTTTGCCAAAGTTCTCACAGGGTGTGTGTGGAGGGGTGATTCCAGACTGGGGTACACCTGGGCCTTGTGACACTGTCCAGGTGTGCGGGTGCCCAGAGGCCAGCTGGACTCTGAGCTGTGGGAACCCCACCCCTCTGCACACCGGAACTATCTGTCCTGCTCAGTCCTGGGACCCACTACTGGAAACAGCTGCAGGGCTGCATCCTGAGAGAATCTCAGAGCTGCTGTTTTGGAGGGGGTGAGGGGATGCACTCAGAGGCTCCAGAGCAGGACTCCTCACAGAGCCAAAGTTCCAGGACCTGAGGCTTTTTCTCAGAGTTAGAAATTGCTTCTGGCAGCCAGGGTGTGGCAGGACGCACTGGGCCATGTTGTGATGAGAGCCAGGGAGCCCTGGGAAGGAGGGGCTCACCTCCACCCTTCTGTGAGGCTGGGGGAGTCCTGCTTCCTGCCTGGCCCCAGGTAACCCCGAAAACAGGACATGAAAGGAGCAGTGTTTTTGCCACCAGGAGCAGTGGCAGGCATCCTGGGTGGCATGGCAGATGAGCTGCTCTTTTCCAGCTGACCACAGGCCATGCTGTGGCTGTTTTTCAGGCATCAACGTTGGCCCTGTGGTGGCCGGAGTGATCGGTGCTCGGAGACCCCAGTATGACATCTGGGGAAACACAGTTAATGTGGCCAGTCGGATGGACAGCACCGGGGTCCAGGGCAGAATTCAGGTAAGTTCACCCAGAGATCCCCAAAGGCATAGGTGTCAATTCTGTAGGTGAGGAAACAGAGACGCCAGGGGCCTTGTGTGAGCCCACGGTCTACAGCCAGTAAGCGGCAAGACCCAGCCATGTCTGCTGCTGAGGGCACTGCCCAGGCCTGGATGTTTGATTTTGCATGCGACTTTGGAGGTGGCTCTTGAGTGACAAGGTACAGAGTTGGATCACATTCAGTTTCCTCCCTTGTCCCAGGACTGAAACTGGAGTTTTGGACCCAAGGCCCAAACTCCTGAGATTCCACATGCCAGGTCTGGCCACCCTGCCACCAAATAAAGAGGCATGGTAAAGGCAGAGAAAGGTGGTTTATTACACGGCTCAGAACATGCCATGGGAAGAGGCAGAGTGAGCACTCAGCTCATCTTCAGCCATCTTCAGGGTACAGATAATGAGCTATAGGTTTAAGTAGACAAAAGAACTGGGGGCAGGGGACAAAGCTGTGCATCGTTAAACAGTGACAGTCACAGGTGTGTTCTGGTTGACCATTATCTCAGTCCAGGGGTTTCCAGAGGAACCAGAGGGGTTCCAGAGAAGATGTCATCACTTGAGGGGAGCCATCTGGTTCCCATGAGATGACTGCTCCTGCTCCAGGGTGCAGCCTCCTCATTATAGGTCTTTGTCCTCATTTGGAGGAATGTCTGTCCTGCAAGTCTCCATTGTTCCTTATGGGGAGTTTCAGTCCCTTGTCATAAAGGTGTTATCAGTTCTGTCCTTTCTGGAATCCAAGGTGATGTCAAAGTGACTGCAAAGAGAATGGCTTAGAGCAAAGACAGATACAACATGGAGGCAGGGATGCCAAGCTTCTCCTGTTTTTAGTTAATTTGTGTGCCCAAGTAAGGAGTCAGTGCTTTTCAGCAAAAGCAATTTGAGTGCCTCTTACAGGACCATGGCTGCCATCCAGATGCCAGAGGAGAGAAGGGCTTTGTACTGTGTTTAAAGGGCAGACTGCTGTGCACACCCACTACATCTGCAGAACTTCTGGGCCACTCAGGTAGAACAAGACCTGGTAGCTGTGTCATCTACTAAGAGGCTTAGAAGGCAGGAGCCTCTCATTTTATCAGTGTGAGGGAATGGCCTAGCTCTTCACGCTTCACTAAGAATAGCACAAAACCTGGTCCTGGTGTGCTCTGGGATAAGGCCCTGTCAGACACATGGAGTTCATGACGGACTACCCAGCTCTCCCTTATGGTCTCTGAGGACCTGTGGAACTGGGCAGCAAACACAGGGTATTTGACATAGGGCTGGTGCCCTAATGCTGTGGTTGGGACATGAGCTAGGTTCCTTGCATGAGGGAAGAGTCAATCTGATGCCGTGAAAGGCCTGAGCAGGGGCTGGGTGTATGGGTGCATGCATAGCTACTCCAGAGGTAGGAAGACTGCAGTCTGAGGCTGGCCTGGCAGAAGTATGAGACCCTATCTAAAGACAAAGGAAAGCCAAAAGGGCTGGGGCTGATACTCAAGTGATAGAGTATTTGGCTGTCAAGCTTCAAGGACCCGAGTTCAAACGCTAGTATTGCAAAAAAAAATGAAGGTCCAGTAAATTTGACGGAAAAAAATTATAGGGTGCTTACAATAAAAACTTAAAGAAAACTCAATGCAAAACTGACGTTCTCAACAGCGTTCAACAGTGGTTAACAGTACCCCTCGCCCTGCCTCAGTTACCTTGTTTGGACCGTGTAGGAGGCAGGTAGTCCATTCTCTTCACCAGAGCCTCCCCTCATGATGAGGTCATCTATGGAACCTCTCTGCATTGCTTTTAGTTGTTTGATTTTCTGAGTTTTCTTGTACTGAGATGAAATATATATAAAATGTACCATCTCAGTCATTTTTAAGTGCACAGTCAAGTGCCATTAAGCACTTCCCCATGTCACAGCCATCCCTCTCTGCACATGTGTGGCATGGGAGAAGGTGACTTTGAGGCAGATAGAAAATAGGGAAAGACTGGGACTCTTCAATCTGTGTAACTTAACCTAGAGCATCTCAGGTCAGACACCCTCTCTCTCTCACTCTGAAACTCTCATTCAGTTGCAAGGGTTCCTTTTGTTTTCTTTCTTTTTAAATTTTTTGTTAGGATATATTCACTGTACAGGGGGATTCATTGTGACAATTCCAAATAGGCTTGCATTGTACATTGGTTAGGTCACTCCACCATCTCTCCTCCTTGGCCCCCACCCCACTTAAAGCAGTTGCAAGAGGTTTCTTTGTTCTATTTCATATAAGTATATGAAGTCCATCTACCATATTCCCTCACCTTCATCTCCTCCATTTCCCCCCCCCCACAAGTACCTCCTCCACTGTACCTATTTTACAGTACTGACTTTCATTATTAATATTTAAGTCAAATGGGTTTTCTCAATGCATCCCCGCTGAGTGTATATTTTGCTTTGGTCAGTTCAACCCCTTCCATTGCTCTCCCTCACCCCTTCCCTCCCACCCCCATTATTCAACAGCTTTCAGTGCACATCCTTATGTCCTCTACCTGCACAGATGTGATGTTTTATGATATTACTGATGCTCTATCATTCTCTTTTCCTTTCCCTCCTCCCCCGAGTTCCATAGAGCAGTTCCACTGTTAAAACGTGTCCTACATGTGAGTTTGTATATGACCATGCTTGTTTTTGTATATATGTTTATCTTTGGATCTATCTTCCACATAAGAGAAAAAACATGTGGCTTTTGTTTTTCTGAACCTGGCTTACTTCAGTTAACATGATGTCCTCCAATTGCATCTATTCACCTTCAAACCACACGGTGTCATTATTCCTTATGGCTGAGTAAAACTCCACTGTGTATCTATAATTTTCTTGATCCATTTGAGCTGCGGAGCTACAGAAACCTCCACCCTGTGAAAGTCAGGGTACCTGAGAATTAGCATAAACACAGAGTGACCCATCACCAAATCCCTCCCCACTGCCAGGTTATTAGGAACTGCCTGAATCTTTTCATCCAGAGAGTCTGCCCATTTTTCCTGCTTGCATCCAACCTGGCCAGATGGGGCCACCATTGCCTGTTGTAATGCCTTCCCTTACCTCTAATAAACTCTATTACCTCCCTTATTACATCTGCCTTTCTTGCCTGGAGGTTCCATGCCAGACACAAAGAATTTGGAAGTCTTCTCATCAGAGACTACAGGAGCCTATAATTTGGGATGGATTTCATTGTTTTAACTGAAAATGGCATATGGGAGGGAGGCAGGGAGAGAGAGGTCCCATTTCTCTCTCTCTCTCTCTTTCTCTCTTTATCTTTATCTCTATCTCAAGACAAAGCAGTCCTGTCCTCTGCTGGTCCAGGACTTTGTTGAGAACAAAGTCCTTCTTAGCCTCTCTCGTTTTACCTTTATGAAGCAGGGGTTCTTTGAGCTACAACACTGGTTGGAGGAGAGAGAGATAGAGAGGGAGAGAGAGAGAGAGAGAGAGAGAGAGAGAGAGAGGGAGAGGAAAGGAGGGAGAGGGAGAGAGGGAGGGGGAGAAAGGAGGGAGGAGAGGAGGAATGGAAAAGGGGAGAGAGAAAGGGGGAGGGGGAAGGAAGAGGAGAGAGAGAAAGAGAGAGGGGTATGGGAGAAGGGAGGGAGTTAAGAGACACCCTGGTTTTCTCCTGGCAACTTGCCTTTGCCCTCTCTATGTTCATGTCTCCCACTCCAGGGCCCCAGGTGGCAGCTGTATCCCAACCCTGGCCACTAAAGGCACCCCCACTTGCAATGGTGGACTTAGCTCTGCGCTCTACTTGGGATGAAGGGTACTGGAGCCCTAGGCCCAGGGAGCCTGTCCTCCATTCCTCACACTGCTGCTGGGCCCCCACAGCCTCTGGCAAGTGCACAAAACATCTGCAGTGACTCCCCAGGCCCTGCTGGGTCCTGTCCCGCACTGTGTGGGCAGGCCATGGCACCCTCCCAGTCCAGTGGTCCTGCTTTGTGAACTGTGCTTCTCCCACTTGTCCAGGGGACAAACCATAGGATTCCTGGACAGTCTCTGCAAGGTCACATGCTCCTTGTGGAGATGGAGTGGCTGTCAAAAAGTGATAGCCCTGGGCTGCCAAGATGTGAGGTAGTCAGCGTGGGCAGTGGGAGAGACAGGTTGAAATGGCACACCATGGGGCTCCCAGACCCCCAGAAGATCTTCCTAACCCCCATGCTGCCCATGACCCAGAATAACACTGGCTTCTCTCTGCTTGTGACAGGTGACTGAGGAGGTCCACCGGCTGCTGAGGAAGTACTCCTACCACTTCGTGTGCCGAGGCAAAGTCAGTGTCAAGGGCAAGGGGGAGATGCTGACGTACTTTCTAGAAGGCAGGACTGATGGAAGTGGCTCCCATACCAGGTCCCTGCACTTGGATCGGAAGATGTGTCCTTATGGGAGAGCCGGAGGCCAGGCCAGACGGCCCCCACTGTGTCCTGCAGCCAGACCCCCAGTACCGGCTGGGCTTCCCCCAGCCCCCAGTGGTCAGTACCTGCCATCTGCAGCAGCAGGAAAAGAGGCTTAGTGGATCCCATGTTGGCCTCTGGAGGTGCATGCGGGGTGAGGATGCTCCAGGGTGACATGGGCCACTATATCTCCGGCCAGGAGCAGCTGGATGAGCACAGCAGGTAGCCCTGGCCAAGCAGGAGAAAGAGCATTGGTCAGGTGTGGCCCGAGGGCCAATGGGAGATGTGTCCACACCACGGCCCTTGGGGGCATAAGGAGCCCGGTCTCTTTCTAGCAGATTGGCATTGACATTGGGACCTTCAGAGTATCTGCCAGGGTCACAGCAAGAGCTATGGAGGTCCAGCTGGCAGAGAGAAAGCCCACCATGAGTGACCCACATCAACCTGGCCCTGGAGGGTCCTGGCATGTGGATGGCTTCTGCTCTGGGTATTGGCTTTGAAACCTAGACTGGGAAGTGAGCCCTGCTGGGCAGGGCAACAAGGACTGGGTGTGTTCACACCACAGGCACGACCCAGAGCTGGTCAGCTCTTGGACAGGAGTGTTTTGGAAGGATTGAGAAGCCACCTCTCACTGTAGACTTTTGCTAACAGTCAGAGGCAGGTATTCTGGAGACCTCAGGGGTCCTGCAGCCCCCACCTCCATCCTCAAGGCCGGCACCAGCTGCTCTCTACCTGTGCATTCTCCCTACCCCTGCCCCACCTGCTGGCTCCTATGACAGCTGGGTGCTTGTCTCTCTGCACCCTCACTATGTGTTCAAAGAAGAGACAGCATGGACCTGACTTGCCTTCTCAGTGGCGTCGTCTTGAATCCTGTATATTTAACAAGAATCAAGGCTTCATTCCTGTTGAAAGCAAGTTTCCTTGATGGAAAAGAATCAGCCCACTGGGTCAGAAGTTTTAGAGTTAGCAGAGTATGTGGTTCTGAATTCAGGTATCCCTGTTCCAGTGTGCAGGTGAACTTGTCGACATCTGGGACCTTCTGCCTATGTTTCTTGATGATGGAAGGAGATGAAAGTCAAGGATGTGAGGGACAGAGGCCTGGGGTTGCTGGATACAGCCTGGCTCCTGAAAACCTCTGACCTCACTCATGGGGAGGGATGCAGCTTGAAATGGGGTGGGGAGTACATTCTGGGCAAACAACAACAGAAATGTCCAGAGAGCCTCATCTCTGAGAGGTGGCCACGAAGGTTTGTGTGGAGCTGGCAGGCCTGAGTCCATGGCTGTATGTGTGCGTGTGTGTGTGGCAGAGGGGGGGTTCTTTGCCTTACCTCCTTCCTGGGGGGGTCCCCAGGTTTTCAGAATAGGAGCAAAGCCCAGACTTCTGACAGAGTGTGCAGGTGGCATCCCTGGCTCAGCCCTGGCTGAGTTGTGTGGCTGCCATACACGTGCAAGGGTAGCAGTGTCTTTGGCCATAGCTGGGGTCTGGGTAGCTTTGCGGTCAGCCAGCACTGTGGTGATTGAGGTAGGCTGGCCACCTGTCCCTATGGGACCCAGCTGGGGCCAGACTCAGAACAGAGGTGGGCAGGTGGACAGTTTTGGGCAAGAGTGGGGGCTCTGTACAGAGCTCTCGTGTACCTAAGGATTACAGGTTGGGGCTGTGGTGATGCTGTCCCTTTTTCCTCTTTCTGAGATGGCCATGACTTTGTGAGGCTGCAGGGCGGGGTGGTCTCTGCTGCCTCCTGTGGAGGGTCTCCAACCTTTGTTGGCCCTGCATATCTGCCTTCCTGGCATCTTTCCCTAGCCTGGACAGACCTAGAGCTCACAGGCAGGGCCCATGCAGACCCCAAGGCCCCACTGTAGACTTCAAGAGTGGAGAACACAGTTGGCTTCATCCTTCTTGGTGGGCCATGTCACATGTGTCTGGTGTTTCAGCATCCTTCTGGACAGGTGGGCACTGGCTCCCAGGTAGCTGAGGACAGGAGGAATGCTCTTGGGGTCTGTCCCTGTGGTTGGAGTGTCCATCAGATTTTGTGTTTACAGGCTGCTCTGAGGGCTCCTGAGAAAACTGGCAAGTCCTCTAATGACATGTCCAAGCTAGGCAGAGGGCTTGGACACCTTGCCACCCACTTCTTGTGGCTTCTGCCTCCTCTCTGCTCCCAGGCTCTCCTGTCTTCAGGACAAATGACTCATCCTTTAGTGTCCCGCCTTTCCACTAGGACTTTCTCACCTGTCTGCTGTTCTAACCAGAGTTGAAGCAGTCAGCTCAGACAGGAAGACACCAAGCGAACAAGCACACTGCAGGGCAAAGGCGAGGCTGGCCCTGGGCTCTGCAAGGTGTGGGGCTGCCTCCCTATTCCTGCTGGGCTGTGGGTTGCCATTCAGAAAGGCAGATAGCCTCTGGCATGGCCCGGGCCTGTGGATGTGTGCAGCCACAAAGTCAGAGTGGTTTTGCAGAAGGGACTAAAGTTAGAAAGCTTAGGATGGGAGAAGACCTGAGACTGTTTGGATGAATTCACTGAAAGCACATGGCGCTCAGAAATGGACAGGGAAAGGGCAGGAGGGCTGGCAGAGACGTGAAGCATGCTCAGTATTGAGCCCTCATTATTAGTTTGAAGATGAGGACAGGACCTCACTGGAGACACAGAATATGAGAACAACCCCAGTTCTAGCCAGCAAGGAAGCAGGGACGTTGCTCCCACAACCACAGGAGCTGAATTTAGCAGCAAACTGAGTGAACAGGAGGCAGACTCACCAGAGCCCTGGCCAGTGACACCTGAACTTGACCCGTGAGACTCCAAGCAGAGCCAGCCCCCCTGCCATGCCACATCTGAGCCCAGGGTCCACAGCTCTGCATGACCACACGTGAGTGTGCAGTCATGAACTCACATGGATATGTAGGCAGAGCCACTTGGTGTGGTTAGAGCAAGAGGAAGAGCCACCGCAGGGGACAATGCTGCCTTCCCTGGGCATAGGACTGTTCTGTAGTACGTCACATACACAGCAGCCTCTGCAAGGTCTCTACTTCAGGAGCAGACGTCTCCATCATCAGCAATTCCAAACCCTGCCTACTTCCTGTGAGGTCAGGAACCACATTTAGCCATAATGTTCCTTGGGGGAGGGGGGTTGGTGAAAAACAACTTCCTTTTTATTTGTGATAAGACTGTATTATATTGCCTTATTTATTTTTACTCTTGTACAATATTCGTGTACAAATGTTAGAGCCATTCGGGTAGGATTCTCTAAATTATTTATTTTAAGATGCTCTGTAAATAGTGCACCAGATACAGGTGCTGCCTGCTCACTTGTACCAAAAATGAGGAAAGGCCCAGCACCCACGTCAGCCCCTGCCTGTCATGCTGTGGCCCTTGGGAAATGACCCCGTGTGTTCTCTTCTTGACCCTAGCATGCCTCCCGTGCCTGACACTCTAGAGTAGAACAGCCCCAGAATGCTTCCAAATGCTTCCATGGGCCGTCACCCCTCCCCTGGGGCCTGTCCTCTCTTGGGGTGTCCATGTCCTACAGATGGATGCTCCACATTGTCTGACAACCCAGTGTTTCTCAGACTCTAAAGCCACCAGGGCTTCCGGACCCCTTCTGTCATAGAAGCAATAATGCAACTCTTTACTGTGGAGACAAGTCTGGCCCAAGCAGACTAGTAATCTAGAGACCAGTCATGCATACATGTTTGCTGTAGGGGACTACCACCCCCAAGACCCCTAAAGTTCTAGCTTTGGCCCATTGGTTCCTGCAGCCATGCTTGGTGTCCCAGACAGTGAGTAGACCAAGCTGGTGGCCTACCCTTGGCCCCACACTCTTTCTCAGCCAAGGAAGAGATGAGGGCACCCTCCCCGCCAAAACCAGTCCCAAGTCTGTGTCCATCCTTGAGTTTCAGTTCTGGCCTCATATGACCGAGGGTGGTGAGCTGAAGAGTTTGTCTCAGCAGAGCATAGAAAGGATGACATCTCAAGCCTTCCCCATGGTGTGCCATTTTGGGAAAATGATGGCACATGGTAGGTTGGTCCTGGTGGGAGAAGGGCCACCCAGCTGGGACACCTGTCTTCCATTGATGAAGCAGAAGGTATGCTGAGGAAAAGCTGGGGATCTCTGATTGCTATGGAAGAGATTTCTGGGTGTGGCGCATTAGGGTGCAGCCAACCTCCCATGATTCTGTGTTTTTATTTGCATTTTATAGGAAGGCTATGCCATAGTCCTCATAGCAACCTGTGTCAACTATTTGCTTTAATAGCCACTTTGGAGGGTTTCACCTGGCATGTGCACCTGTCTGCCCCTCAGCAGAGTGGGTTTGGGGCTCCCCAAGTCCAAGGGACCTCATTCACAGCTGTGAAGGGCCTGAGTCCAACATGCTTGCAGGGTTATAGAGCAAGGACACTCTATCATGTATGTTACAGTCACAGGGAACGGTCTGCTTACATGCATTGTGCTCCTAGTGACACTTGTACAAGAGGGTCACAGAGTGCTTGCCAGTACTTACATTCTGAAAAGCTGTGCAGAATTGATGCCTGCCTACAGAGCGACCCCCACCCCCTGAGTTGCTCTTGGTTTTACAATGGATTCAAATTAAAACAAAATGCACACATGACCCCCTCCCCGACCCTCCTTAAGAGATGACCAGATTTCAAAATATTCAGTTTGGTCAAATTAATAAAAGGCAGGCTGTGGCCAGGCCTGACCTAGTTTACTCTGGGCTTCGGAACGTCTTCCTCCCCGGCTGCAGCTCATTCCTCATGCTCACACAAGCCAGTAGTTTCTCATTTCCACCTAGAGATCCAGGTTTGAGAGTCAGTGAGTAACGCAGTCAGTGATTTTTGCACAGTATCTTGGGCTTTTGTTTACATTCATGGCTCCTTAGGGTCGGGGATTAGAGGAGCTGTTTAAGGTGGACTTAAATCAGATTTGGGGTCTGCTGGGAGGATGTAGGGCCCAGAGCTCAGTGAGCAGGATCTGGGGCCACCCTGGCCAGTTGGGATGTGGGGAGTTAATCTTTGTAGCTCGGGTCTTTGCATTGAACTTGGGAGACAGCAGAGA